CCCTGCTGTGGCATTTTGTCAGCGCCTTAACCAGGACAAAAATCTCACTGTATTCACTCATGAAGAGTCACCTAGAAAAATCACAACATGATTGAAAATAAGCATACTATACTACGAGTATGTTACGTCGTCTATCCATTTTGCACCACTTATCTGGTTCACAGCAGCAGTCTGAGCAAAGAAGTCCAGACTTCCCTTACCCTGGCCCGGGGGACACCGAGTTGTTTCCAAGCCAGCTGAGTCCTGGGTCTGGCCTCAGGACCTCCTCCCAGTAGAACATGCCTGAAATATCTCACCGAGCAGATATCTGAACCACCTCAATTTGGTTCTGTGGATGAATGATGTGGATGAGCGATCCAAGTAGCTCTCAAATGACCATTCTCCTCACACTGCCTCTAAGGAAGAACTCAGTCACACTTTATAGCTCTTTAACCCTGCTTGTAAAATTGCATGTTTGCACAATTTCCAACTAGTGCTAGATTGGTACAGTAAATGGATTGGTACAAGCACTTTCATGCAAAAACTTTGATTTTTTTTCAATCACCAACCTTAATCGGGCTCTCAGTGCACTTGCACTACCAGCACAGTCATCATGTTAACAGTGTCTGGATGAACATCTAAGCATACTTTGTTAGCTGCTGAAGACTCCACGACAGAAGACAAATAATCTGTTTCACTTTACACCCTGGACTTAAATGCGGTTACCAGTTCTCTGCTGAATCCCTACAGTTGCTTTTCCAAGCGAGCCATGTCATCCAAGTTGGATGGCAGCAACGATGTGAAATAAATGCGATGTGTGATTCCTGACAGCCATATAGAAAAATAATGAGCTGCCATCTGTCAGTAATCACCAGCAGGTTGCTACAGATGTGCCACCACACAGCATCCAGTACCGAGAGGATCTTGTATCTATCTGTTGAGCAATGTAGACAAGGTTTTCCTCGCCATTCAAGTTTGTCCTTGAGGAACCTTTGATAGGTCCTTCAGAAAATAAGTGGAGCACAAAAACACTGCAAATCGGAGGATTTTCTGATGTGTTGATGAAAACATTCTTCGTGTTCTGTTGATTTGAAAAGGAAGAGGAGGTAAAATTGCGAGTGAAATGATTGCTTTTTAAAACGGTAACCACTTTTTTTTTGTTCTTAAACAACCTGCTTGGAAATTCTGAGGATTCGCCAAGGTGATGCACGATGCTACGCTGATTCACTTTGAAAAACCTTAGCCTGACATGGTTCGTCACAGTTTAGATCCTTTGTGAAGACGTCTTTTCTTACCTGCCAGTGAAAGGAAACATTTCCTTTTCAGGTTTGTGTTTGTCTTGAACCCTGACGAGTCCGGATCTTCTGCATGGGTCTCAGTTTAAAGATGATTATAAATTTGTTTTCCAAATACTCTAAATCATGCGGCCTGTGTCTCGTCCCTGTGCTCCACTATTCAAGCTCACATTGCTCACCTTGTGAGGAAACTTACTGATTATATATATATATATATATATATATGTGTGTGCACTGAGGGAGACTGCACACTTCGCATTAAGGCTTTAGATCATTAAAGACAGAGGATTCTCCACAGCAGGAGGGGAAATGTGTGGGCATTATTCATAATGTTGGAAGGAAGACTGGTGAAACTGGCCTTGTGAGGCATGTCAGTGTGCCTCAGAAAGGAGCTCAGGGTCATTTGGTAACTTTAAGCTAGCTCTGTTTTCTGGTCAACCATATGTTACTGTTATACAGCTTCTCTGAGTGTTCCCACTGTGTGCCAGTGGTCTGTATATCATTTGTTTGGCTTCATTAGCTGTCTGTGCGTCCTAGGCTTCCTTCAGCTGCTTTGCCTAAGAATAGAATGCCATGCTGATTGCTGTTGGTGTTTTTATTTTGCAAATCAGCTCCAAAATTGCATCTGATATTTTCTTCTCTGTTTCTTTCATCATTACCATCTGTTGTGAATCTTGTGCCCTTTATATACACAGAAATTCACATTAACTACTTATATTCAGATTCCAGCCAGAAACTCATAGACATTTAGAAATAAAGACGTAGTTGCTGCTGGCGGCGATTTATCAAAAAATGATGTAGGTGGTTGGCAACCTCGCTTTCATAGAGGAAGAAAACCAGAGTACAAGCAGTTGGCAACCAGCTGACTCGAGTCTCCTATTCAGAGAGACATGTCGCAGAGTAGTTTGACTCATTGAGGCAGACTAACTCAGACGGGTTAACAATCTGTCTGCGTTTATAAATTAGACAGTAGTTATTTGCAGACCTCTCTGAGAGTGCAGTCTATCCCCAATCACCTTGCAATGTTAATATAGTTTTTCTTATCAAGCACTTTTCTACTCTGTCAGAGCACTGAAAGCACTTTACACAACTTGCGTCATTGCCTGTGCTTCATGCCACAAGCACTTTCTATGTAAGCGCTTTCTATCTAACGTTCACACTCCAATGAATGCATCGGAGAACTTGGGGTTAGTATCACGCCCGAGGATGTTTACCACAAACCACCAGCCTTTCACCCGAGCTACAGCCAGGTGAAAGAGCAGAGGTTTAGAGTGTTGCATAACCAACTGGTCACCACAACTACTTGCAATTAGTTTCTGACAACAAGAAAATTTAATACAACCACTAATTTGTTTGTCTTAAAGGTCTGGTGTAAGTGAGCCATTAAAAAAGCACACAGATAGATCATGCTTTACTCGTTAATTAGTTCCATTCTATGACTAAAACATTGAATTTCTTATTGTGGTATCATTCCAGATCAAGTCATGAATGCAAACAGTGGAGGATGTTCTTTTAGAAAAACATGGTATCAGATTTGACACCCAAGTCATTTCATGTTGATTCAATATACTAATGATATACTAAGTAACAATATAGTGTTAAATACACAAATTTGTCTGGAAAGAATTACCAAAAATCCAACTCACGATAGCAGCTATTTTTTTGGACATGGATATTCAAGACTCTTCACCTCCTGCACAGGTAATTCAGCAGTGAGCAAGAGATGTGTTTAATTTTTAAAACAGATTTTTGGAGGAAAGCGTGAATCGTAGTGTTGACTTGAAGGTTTCAGAAGCCCGTGGTGCTATTTTAATAGTTTAACAAAGTGTTTGTAAAAACAACAAAAAAGAACTTACATAGTAGTACAAGTTAAAAAAGTATGATTTTGTCAAACTTGATTGCATTTAGTAAAGTCGGGGTGGCTCATGTCTAAATGCTTTGAATTATTTGAATTATTAACTGTGCAACAGCTCATATTACATGTATCACATGTAAAATATGCTTGAATGTAAGTTTTACGTTGGTATGACATGTTTATTATATAAGACATGGTTTGCATGGTAACATGTAGTTAAACAATGATGTAGATAACTGAATGAGCCAAAGTGGCACTTTGCACTTCTGTCAGAGCGATAAGCGAGCAGCATGGTGGGGAGAGAGCGCAGTGGTTTTAATAGGCTTGGTTAAGTGGTGAGATGACGTTGACAGACAGATGGTTGAGCTGTGCTAGAAAACATGTGATCATGCGTCAGTATCTTAGCTGCTCCTTGGATGAGCTAGGTCAGCTGAGCACTGATCATTTGACCCTGTTTGATTACACTGGTTACCAATGTTTCAGACATCCTCAGCTTCATCACATAATATATGCTATTTCTGTTTGATTTTGAAATCCAAATGTGACAATTAAAATAGCTTAAAATAACATTTCCAAGATGGTTCATTTGTTTATATCTCACTGCTATTGTACATTGTTTTGAAGAGTTTGAATCATAAATTGTAAGTTTACTTTATGGTCACTTCACACTATAATATTTCACCTTTAACATTATGTAAGAATTAAAAACATCAGAAAAAAGGTCTTTATAGCCCAGACTTGAGTGAAACAAAATTTTACAACTAATAGCAGATTTATTTCACCTCAAACACCAAAAAACTGTTTAACAGCTTATTGTGAAAGAAGAAGAAGAATTACAGATTTCCTGCTACTACAAAGGTCATGTCGAGCGTCTGAGTACAGATGCGGGACACGACCACGGAGATAAGATTTGGAATTTGACATTTCATACTTGATAAATTTCTATGAATCTGACCTAATGAAAAGCAGATTAATAGTTTAGATAGTGACCATCTAATAATTACTATAGTTCCCCCATCCTGCCCATTTTCGCCAAATGTTATAGGTTAAAATGTATTTAAGTGATTTCTGGCTTCAATTAAAATTTTGGGTCTTACATCTGACCAAGTAGATTATCATGAAAACTAGAATCAATCAGCAATTTTAAGCAACAATTTCAGTTTCAGTGACTAAAATTTCATTAGTTAATGGAACTTTTACAGTCGCGCACTGCTACCAGGGCACTTGGACATCTGAGACGTTCAAAAACAGAGACAAGAAACCTTTTCAGAGACAACCTGCCTTTTCACATAACAGCTTTCCAGTCACTCAGTCATTTAAAAACACCGTTAAAAATCAACTCTTCTCACTGGCTTTCAGGTCTAGCTCAGCAAGTTATCCTGGTTTTTTTCTTATTCAGTCTATTACGGTTTTATGTGAATACATTTTTACTGAATTTGTTATTTTACTGGTTGTTAAGTATGAGTTCTGTTTGCATTGCCTGTACAACAGATTGTTTTTAATCATAACTTGACTTGGGATCTACAGTAACATTGCTGTAAGCAAGTACTATCAGACTCTGATTATTTATACATAGTATACAAAACAAGTGAAGGAGGACCTTCACCTGTCGGATTTTTCTCCCACAATCACTGTTAGAAAACCATCATAGCGTCAGTATTTAATGGCTTGCTTTCATAAGCTCACTTTAATTTACATTTTTGATTAAACTGAGGCCGTGGGTTTCTTCAGCCGAGGATGGGCGACAGAGTTAGACGTGGTCTCTTGTCCACAGAGACCGAGGTTTTTCTTCTTACTGATGCTGACTGTTACTTAAGGTGGATATTTCAAATAATAGCCTCGGGCCTGAAAAAGTTCCCAGGTCCCTCCCGGCCTGTCTCAGCACACGGGCACGCTCTCTGTCTTGTCTCGGACTGACCCTGCTAAGTGAGCGTTACTGTCCTCCCCGTTTACAGTGGCAGTAGGTAACAAGGCATTATACAAGATAGAAATCAATCAAATTATGCTCAAGAGTCCAGTGTGTGGTTGTGTAACCAACCTTGGTTGCCCGTATAATCTGTCACAAATCATGACAGAGGAGGGTAATAAGGCAGCATACCCCCCCATCATTGTCACTGTGAAACCCCCGGAGGCAGTAAGACACCAGGCAGCTCACAACCACACGACACAAGGAGAGGAGATGACGATAGGACACACCAGTCCTGCTGTAGAAATAAGGAAGAGAAAAATTGTTTATTCCATGTTACAGGTAACACGAACAGTCAGTTCTCTTGACTGTGGATCTCTGTGGGTATTTCCTCTGTAGATCCTTCCCAAGCCGTTTTCCCCCCCCCCACCACACATTTCCTTCTTTCTCCTCACATCATTTGGAGTAACCATCTCTCCAAAAACACGACTGCAGAATACACCTGACACTTTTTTTTTAAGAGAAATGTGTTTCTTAAGCTTTATATTTTTTAGCTTTTCTGTTCCTTCCTGCACTTGTTCTACAAGGTGTAGCCAGCCTGCAGAAGCAGACCGAGCACACACAGAGACTTGAATACCTCCTGTGTGTTATTATGGGTTTTTTTTCTTTACTGCACCGCCATCGTTCACCATTTAGCCCCTGCAATAGAGCACTGGGCTTCTCAGACACACTTTCATTGTGTATATGACAAAACCCAGCAGCTGATAGCATTCTGGCCTGAAATCAGAAAACGACTAGATAAATCACATTGGGAGCATGCGGTAGCATCTGTGTGTGTGTGTGAGAGGGGGGGGGGAGCCAATACAATGAAGGTATCGAATTCACTGTGGATGAAGACTGCACTGCCGGCACTTTCTACATGAATCTATGCCTGTCCAGGGATCATTTGCCATGGTTAATTTAGTCCATGTGCTCAGAGTGGCTATTTCAACCAAGTAATCACAGCACCCCCAAGAGGGAGACAGGTGCTGCACACTCTGAGTATAAAGCCTCTCCCTCCCTCACGTCCTTCCACCTTCCCCCTCCATCGCTAACATACGAGTGCAGATAAGGGACGCTCGTCTTATTCCCATGTGCAGCCACTGTAATGCACTGCAGGACAGAAAAGAGAGCACTGACGACTGGAAGAAGTCCTGTTTGCTGTTTTCCTAGCAGTTCGATTTGGGAATTGCAGCCGGATCGAGGGGAGTTCCAGTCTGCAGGCTGAGATGACAGTGACACATGGAGGCATCGCAGGCTGCAGGAGAGACACGTCTCCTCCGAGTCCCCACAGAGACAAGCTCAGGCCGAAACTAATACCAGTTATTGTAGCTGTGCACCCTAGTTTGCTATGTGCTCCGTCCCGTATATCCTTCTATTAACTGAGTCTGACATATCCATAAGGATGATGGAAGGGCTCGGCTTTTTGCAAAGCCATTTCCTGTGCTGAATTATAATGCCTGGAAAGAGTAGAGGCGCGCAGCGTGCTTGATCAGACGTGCGTGAATATGAATGTGTGTTTTTTTCAGAGCCTACCGTCATCACCACGCTGGCCTCCACGCTGGACGTCACCGTCGGGGAGAGCGTGGTCCTGCCCTGCCAAGTGAGCCACGACCCGTCTCTGGAACTCAAGTTCACCTGGTTCTTCAACGAGCAGCTCATCCACTTCGGGAGCCACGGTGGATTCTTTGAAAAAGTGGGAGGCGTAAGTCAATATTCCATCATTCATGGTTTCTGACAGGCCTCTGGTTTTAAAACAAGCTGTCATGTTGTGAGAGGTGCGCAGACAGGATGCCTTCATGCATCATCCGGGAAGCCTTTTTGCTATGAGCGCTTATATAGTATTTGGACATTTTATCCCCAAGAAAACAAAATATGCCTAAAAACAACAAAACTTGAAATGGGGGTACATTAAAGGTGCATTTCTATCCCAGTAGCTATTATCGAAAAACATTTACCCCCTACAATTAAATAAGGCAGTAACTATGTGTATGTGTTTGAGGATTTTAGCCACACTTTATTTTCTTTTTAAAGTATATTTTTCAGCCAAATGAAAAGAGAAATCAGGTAAAATCTTAGTTTTACTCTCTAATTCTATCTAATTTCTTATCTGCTTGAGCAGTAAGGACAAATCACCAGGCTAACACATAAAGACAGACAATCAAACACTCTCACATCCATACCTACGCCCAATTTAGATTCACAGATTAACCTAAAATATATGTCTTTGGACAGACACAGGGAGAACATGAAAAGAAGGCTTCCCGGCTCTGTGGTTTGAACCTTCCCTTGGTTTCGTTCTCCCTGTGCTGATGACTTTTCTTTGGGTTTCTGCTTCATCTGTTACAGATGGGAGACAGATAAAGCTTTGAGTGGCTGTGAGGCTAGAAAAGTGCTATACAATGCCACTGACAAGTGTATGATTTAATAATAACGTTATATCAGATTCCCTCATTATGGTACCAAATTGTCGGTAGCAAAACAGCGTACTCAAAAGGTGCAACGTGGTGCTTTCAGAGTGCATCACCTAGCAATATACATGTATATATATATATGTGTGTAAGTATATACTCATTTCTGCTGTTTGTTACAATTTGTTGTGTCTCCTGCTGTTTTTCCATCAAAAGATTTTATTCTAGATATAAAATACATTATTACAGTTTACTCACCACAAACACAGTTTAATATTTCCTTATCCACCACGGGGACCATTAGTGATCATTTGTGTAGATTTATGTTATTTTCCTGTTTTTTTTTTTTAACATATTATATTTTTAACATCTGAGACTCATATTAAAGTAAACACTGCTAGAGCCGGACTGCAGATTTTTTCACACCTAACTAATTATCAATATTTGATGACTGAAAAATCCAACATATCATCGGATTGGTTTTTTTTTTCAGACACTAAACATGAACAAATTTCTCTTTCATTTTTTATGTGTTGCTATTTATGAGTCCTTGCTAAGATAATACGACAATGCAGTTTAAAAATAACCTTGTTTTGTGGTCACATGTTTGTGTGTTTGTGGCATTTCAACTTGGTGTTGGCCAAACTATTCAGCATCAATGCTCCTAAAATGGTTGAAGGGTGTTTCTCCCAAGTCTGCTATTATATTGTTTAAATACCAATAAATTGGCAAATAGCTAATATCGGCCTCTAAACACACCAACAGTGTAGGCTTTATCCCTGGAGCACAAGCTGAATCCCCCCATTATCCCCCATTGTCTTCCCCCCAAAAAACGATCATGATATGATGGCAATAACCGCAGCATATATGGCTAGATACTGATGTTTCCACATGCAGTCAGACCCCCTAATTTTAGTTTTATATTTGTATTAATGCAACAAAAAATTGAATGAAAATAGAGTACCAGATAGATGTCAGTTAATTACATCTATCAGCAATATAAACACAGAAGACTAAAGGTTCATCCACACAGGAAGTGATTCATGCAGCACCCTGTAGCTGATAGTTAGTTGCTAGCAGACATCCCAGGTTTATCTTTGTAACTGTTGAATATATTGTCATTAAACAGCACATTTCACTTTCATTGGTAGTCGAATTGAACAAAGTTTTGTGTTCCCAGCAGTCATTTCACTCACTGTAGCTTTAAGACTCTGTATGTCATCGGCTTTCTGTTATATCTGGTCGCCAAGTAGCTTCCTGTGTGGACAGTTGCTAAAAAAATTGCTCTTTTGGTGAGACAACAAACTAACCTAACAACAAGTGAGAACAGAAATAGAACTTGTCCACAAATAGTTCCGGCTGACATCCAAACTGGAGTGTTCAGCTGTGTTTGTGCCCACCTCGCCAAAACACTGTTGTGTGTAATTTCAGGAATGCTAATATTTGCTAATGTGCTAGCATGCTAACGGCCAATGGCATAGCTTAGCTGTAGGGTTTCTCCCACGAGAGAGCATCATTTCAAATTCTTTTTATTGTCACACTCCAGCTTTGATAACATATATTCCACATAAGCCGAGGCACATAATGTATAATTAAAACTCAAACCTTGTTGAGCTTCGTGGAGGAATCCTCATTTTATTAGCACCACTGCTACATAAAAGACATTGATTTATTGCCCAACCCCCTTCAGAGATTTCATTGTATAAAAGGTCCAGATGTGACTCTGAAGATTAATTGGTACATCAATATTATACTTCTTCTCTTAGCGGGGTCATAATAAATTCAGCCGCAGTGCAGAGGGAATGTTTGTATCAAGTGTTTAATTTATGGGCAGAAAAAAATTTGCTGCCTGTGGTTTATTTTAAAAAGAAATTTACATACATGCAACCAGTCTCAGTGAGCTCCTGTATACTTTATAAAGTCCGCAGCTTATACCTCAGCATGCCATGCACTGTTTTGAGTTGGAGGGTTGTTTTTTTTCTCTTTTAGTTAAAAAATGCAAGGCTCCTTTAAAAACTGCAGGCAATACAGAGGAAAAAAAATCCAATGCAGAGGCGTTTTTTTTTTTTTTTCTTTCTGTTTCCTTTATGATTTAGGTGTTTCTAGGATCGTGATTTACAGTCTCCCCTCCTTAATAAATTGCTGTTCGTCTACACTTATATTGATTAAGCTACCAGCCACTCCATAGAATTCTTACTGCCACTGTGCCACATATTTCCGCCATGTCCAATTTATCACAGAACCTGCTCAGTTCTGCCTGGGTGAAATGATAATGTAGGAGAGGGAATTGTAATTAGAGATGGAATGAAAGGCCCTCTTAAAGAACTAACTATTAGACTAGCCATTAGGCTGCACTGTATAACTGAAGCGGCTCCATACTGCAATTCAAATCAAGCCATTAGAGCAAGTTCATTTCTGTAATCACAGGGATAAAACAAATGCACGGTGCGCACATGGTATAGAGAGGTATTTCTTTGTGCCTCTTTAGAATATAGATGAAAAGTGGGAGTGTGGAAATATGAATTCCTTTTTGAAGATATGAGAATAAGCTTTCTGTTTGGTTTCGTTTGTTCCCGCGTGGCTACAGAAAAAGTGAGCGTTGAATTGGAATCACAATAGCAGGTCGCTTACGAAACTCCTTTGCTTGTTCGTGTGTTTGCGGGTGATTGTGCATGCGTTGAATGACAGCAGCATTCGGCGGGAGACATTATGATTCGGAACGTCCAGCTGAGGCATGCCGGGAAGTACACGTGCGCCGTGCAAACCAAGGTGGACAGCATTTCCGTGGCTGTTGACTTGGTCATCAGAGGTGAGTCACCATAATAACTGTGATTTAAATAATTCACAATCTACCTGAAGAAGACTGGGCTTTGTCAGTGATGCATGTTTGCTGTGACTGGTTGCACTTCACTGACGAATGAATAAAGGGAGAGAAAATTGAGGCGAGTGGAAATTTCTCTCTGGAAGGTTTAAATGAAATTTACTGTCTAATTAGACCCAATAGCTCCCAAAGGTTTTACACTGAACTGATGTCGCTGCAGTAGCCTCAGGTGCTAAAACCACCGCCACACTCTCTACCGTCTTTCAATCTTTTCCTGATTTACATTCCCTCCCTCCCCTACCTTCTTCCTCCATCTGTCTCTCTATCTTTCTGTTCTCTTTCCTGCCTTGGCTATGCCATCTATCAGGTCCCCCAGGGCCCCCCACCAGCATCCATGTAGAAGGAATCACTGATACCACAGCCTCTCTGTCCTGGAGGCCCGGTCCTGATAATCACAGTCCAATTACGGCATACACCATCCAAGCCAGGACACCATTTTCCCTCGGGTGGCAAGCTGTCACCACAGGTAAGCTCTCTCCAACCAGCTGCGGCCTCCTCCAGTCACCCGGAGGGGGCCACTCTTCATCATGCCTCGGCTGTGAAAATATTGAAGATGTAATTTTTACCCCAGCATCAATTGTAGTGGGACCATTGACTCCCATTTTATCGCTCTCTTGGGAATCCTGAAACATGGATCTCGTCCCGATGATGAAGCTTGTTTGCTAGTGCAGTTAAGTAATGGGATCGGTGTAATCTTTGCCCACATCCTTTATGGCACCCTTAACATTTACGCATGATTGGCGTAATGTGCTTTTATCTCGTTCTATTGATATTTTTGTGAATTAGGACACTTTTATCAAAGATGGTTTTACTAGCTTCATTGATTTGCCAAGCAAGGGTCATAGATTTGTAACAGAAATACAATGTGACCTTGTAGGGGCTCAGAACCCAGAGGAAGAAAATGAGTTTTTGCCTTTTTAACTGGAATCATTTTTATTATTTTGGTTTTCAATATTCAGTCCCTTACAGCGATTCTGGTGTTTTGCTTGTTTCAGCTGACTTAAAAACTACACAGTGTCATGCATGCATTATTAAAGAATTCAACAAAGATCACCAAATTGGCAATGTAATGGTCAATGTGTGTGTTTATGTGCATTTTTTTTTAAATCCTTATGCGTCCTTGTGTGGTATTGGAAGTGTGCTGTGTAACTACCATGTCTGTTAGCCTGGAGGATAGCATGCTACTGATGCTTAGCTGAGACACTCCAAGAACACACAGCCACACACATTCATGTGTTGAAACTGAAGAGGGCACTGTGTGTTTTCTGCCAGTTCCTGAGGTGGTACGGGGCACCCGGCTGACAGCTACAGTAATAGACCTGAGCCCTTGGGTAGAGTATGAGTTTCGAGTCCTTGCAAGCAACTCCATCGGGACTGGCGAGCCCAGCAAGCCATCCAAACAAGCAAGGACAAAAGGAACATGTACGTACTGAATCTGTTTTAAAAACTGACCAGTATACATATCATTTACCCAACTTTCTGAATTGTTTAGGGAAATACTGTTCCCAAAATGTTTATTAATGCTGGAGGAAGGGAAACCGTTAGCCTTGCTCTGTCCACACATAAGTGAAGTTTTCAGCTAACACTAGCAAGCTTGGTTGCAGGAGAAATTCAAGGGGGGAATCACTCCACGTCACGCGGCATTCCTGAGGAACGCAAAAGGTGACCTTCCGTGTTCTTATGCTACGCGCCAGGTTATGGATAAAATCTAGTAGAATGATGCTCCCGCGGTAATACACGTTCCAGCCATGTATTCCAGCCCTAACCTTATCCCTAACCTGAACCAGCACTTTAATGACGTTAAAATGTGTTTTCCAAAGCGATTTTAATAAAATGAACGAACATGTGTAGATTGATTCCAAACCGTTCTCATATTTCCTCATTTTTCCGATCTCGTCATTTAGGGATGTGTTGGGTGCCCGGAAGCGTAATATGTTGGTGATTTGTCACCTAGCGTAAAATATTACGCCTCGAGAGTGAGAATGTGTTGGTGTCACAGCACCTGTCAAAGTGGCCACACCCCAACTCCAGTTTCCAGATGGGTGATCAGCCGCCATAGATTTGTTATGAAACTATCCATAGATGTCAGAATCTTTTTTTTGTGGTTGGCTATAAAGATGCTTTTTAACACTGTTAAGTTGGGCGTTTCAACACGGGAGTCAATGGGAATGAGCACGCTTTTGGAGGCTCAAGTGGCCATGAGAGGAACTGCAGTTCTTGCTACTTGTAGTAAGTTGGCTTCAATGTTCAGCCTTGGTTCCTGCTTATTTCCACCACGTAATTCCCACCCGAGATGGACTTTTTGTTTTCAGTCAAGCATATGTTCATTAGTCAGCTTGACTGGTTCTGTTAGATCTTCTTACATCTGGACAGAGTTTTTTCACAACTTCTGTCTTTAGTTCACTTTTTTTCCCGTTTTTGGGATTAATTTTTTCAAGTAACCTTTGACAAGTAAAGGGTATAAGCATATTTTGTAAAATGTCAACCAACAGGCTGTCCTGATAGGTGGAGCGCATACCAAAAAATGCTCCCAGGAGCTCCCGGTTTGAGTCCCAATGGGCAAGACATTTGCTCCGTGTCGTTCCCCCTACACACTTCTCTCTAAACACGTGTCCAATAAATTTAGAAATGCTGATAAATATCTTAGGAAAATAAAATACAAAAACCTTGAATATACAGTCAGTGTGCTGGATATCATTACTGCCTCAAAAGAAAATGAAAGTCTCGTTCAAATTGCAAAACATCTCTAAAAGCTTCTTTTAGCAGATTAACAAGTTCAGATTCTTTACGTGTTCCCTTTTCGACTCGGAGATGGGAAGTTTGCTGATGTATCTGAATGCTGAAGTTCAGACTTGTCACACACTTACCTCTCTTAGCAATTTAGGATTTGCTGGAAGGAGCATTATTACATGTGCCTTTGCAGTGTCATGTGAAGTCAACCCAGCTAAGCTGATCTGTCTTCTTCCTTTAGCTCCGAAGGTCACACCAGCTAATGTGAGCGGAGGCGGTGGCAGTCGCTCCGAATTAGTCATCACATGGGAGGTAAGCAAGCTTGCCCAAGACCCCCTCACCCATGGAGGAGGCAGCCAGACGTCATTATTCTCTGTGGATGTAGACCTCTGTTTCATTAATAACAGCTGAACTGCTTAATGTATGGCATTTCATTTTTAAGAACAGAAAGGCAATAACTGCTGCTGTCACCCTGGGGGAGAGAAAAATGCTTTTGAGGTTTCAATAAGATAATTAAACTCAGTTGTTCCTTCGAAGTTCTCACTTTTCTCCTCTTTTCTTTATTTTTCCTTTTTCGTTCTCTTTCTTATTTCTACAAAGCTCCCCACATATCAGCCCGGCTCCAAAAACGTATATTTGTTCAAGCTGCTGCTCAGAATCATCAGCTCCTGCTGTGAACCATTTCACTGTTGATGTTTCAGTATGCACAAGTGTGGTTAAAAGGTAACTTCTGCTAAGCAACGCCCCTGTTTTGCCTCAGCCCCTGAAGTTCTTTATGCCGTTCTGTGTTCACACAAAAGCAGGGGCAGCAGGTTGTTCATAACTATTCCTTTAAGAAATTAAGAGAAGGCGTCTCTCCCCCAGGGTAACAGCAGACATGTCTATTCGCATGGCTGCAACCCAGGGCCTAGAATACAGCTCAAGATATGAATGAAGGTCTGCGTCAATGACACACACAACTCTATATTGGTCAGCCAACATAGTCAGCCAAGAGTTTAGTTTACTTTAACAGTTTTGGTTGGAAGACTTTGAATGATTTCTTTGGACTGTTGTTTTTTCCAGGGTTGAACACAGCATGTAATACTAATGATTTTTACAAAATAAGAATTGGATGCTCACGTTTGAATTTCTCTTGGATTTTCTCTAAACTATGCAGAGTCAAAAGTATACATACAGCTTCAGATATATACATAGACCCCACATATATTTGCTTAAATGTTTCAGTTGGACCTTGACCAGATGTTTTTGGTAGCCAATTTAGTTAATTTCAGTTAGAGCTCGACTTATTTCTTAGTGAGCAACCTCTCAGTCCATAGCGATGTAAAACTTAGCTCACAATGGACAGTGACACTTTCAGCAGGTTCTAGCTCATGGCAGGCTTGAGCTTTGGTCGTTTCTGGCTTGTTTCTGAACATCTTAACTAACGTCCTCTCATCTGAGGGTCACAGTTGGGTCTTCATCCAAACCTTGGCAAACTGGTGAAATAATTATATAAATAAATAGGGTTTTTTTTCAACTCTCATCTGTTTATTTTGAATTAAAAGACAAAACATTACCCTAGGATTGATACTTTTCACCTCATAAATGTACAAATGCTTAGGCAATATCAGTAGCAAACGCTTTGTACAGAATAGGCTTTAAAGTTAAATTTTTTTCATATCTGCTACAGGTGACCCCGAACCCACCATTAGTTACGATGCCAAACTCACTAAACCCGAATTAAAGGTTTTTCACATTTTTAAGTAAGACAAACTGCATAATATAAAAACCATTTGTTGTATTTAGAGGTTACCTCTAATAACTGCAGAGAAAAATCAGCAAACATGAGAGAAGATGTAGTTTTGCTGTGATAATAGTAAAATAATAACAAAAAGTTGAAAACAAAGAGTGCTCAAGAATAATCCCTGAGGGACACCACAACGTAGTCAAGTGTGTTTGTTTCTGTCTGATTAGTACTGTTTTTGTTTTGTTTTTTTCAAGAACCTTTAAAAGCTTTGGGTGGTCATTCTGAATGTCTGGAGACCATAAACACTTATTCTAGCAGTTTTAACAAGTTTTATCAAAACAGTAGACCCTACTTCTCTCCAGACAAAAAAAAAAAAAGATGTACTCTATGTATCTTTTAGTAGACCAGAGTGAAGAGGTTTGGTTTATTCACTAGAATAATGGAGCTATAAATATCTGAAGCATGACCACGGCTACGGCTGTGTTATCATGCTGAGTGCTTTGTACTGTGTAATGGATGTGTCTACTTATAGTTTTTGTGTGTTCAGCATGTTTTATTGCCTAAAAAACTGAAAGCCTCGTGTCTGACTATATTACATCGCATCCTCACATGGCAACTGTAGTTAAAAAATAAAATATAAAGACATAGAGTTGCAGTGTGTTTATTTTCCTTTCTTTTGCAAGTGCTCACACAGTGTTGTTTTCCTGCAGCCTGTTCCGGAAGAGCTGCAGAACGGACCGGGCTTTGGCTATGTGGTGGCTTTTCGACCCCACGGCGCCACGGGCTGGATGCAGGCAGCCGTACCCTCCGCTGAAGCATCCAGATACGTCTTTAAAAACGAGAGCATTCAGCCCTTCTCCCCTTTCCAAGTCAAGGTTGGGGTTTACAACAACCTGGGAGAAGGGCCATTTGGACCTGTTACCACCATCTACTCTGCTGAGGAAGGTGTGTATGATTTGGAGTAGATCTGCATGTCTAGCTAGCAGTAATTCATCACTAAAAGACTGAGTCAGTCCTCCTTTCTTTAAATGGCAGCAGCGATCTCGCAGGCAGCCTTCTTCTATCAGCACTCGCAGGCGTCTTCAGCATACTTTCCTCCCTCTGTTGTTCTAATAAAAAGAAGCCGCTTTGAAACTTTTTTGATGTTCTCTCTTTGAGGGGTCATCAAAGCGCAGTACAACTTCTAAAACCAGTCTTTACACATTAACTCCAGAGCCTGGCCGAGCGCCCACCAGGGTCCGCGCCAAGAGCCTCTCTGCATCTGAGATTGAAGTTTCGTGGAAAGCTCTGCCCTGGAACGCCAACAAGAAGAGAGTGCTGGGCTACGAGGTGAGCTCTGATGAAATACCTTGTTTGTGTGAGTTTTCCCCTGGATGCATTTCCTGTTTGTACGCGTGTGTGCGCACACATGCCAGCTAATGCTGTACAATCTTGTTGTCTTCTATTATTGATGAGTGTTCGAGACTTATGCACCTTGGGCGTACGAGATAATAGCTCGCTGCCTGCATAATGGTCCAGCCGAGTCCCAGGCCTGTGGGTTTGGTTGTGTTTCTCTTGTTGCTTACCTAAGTACTGTAACCACCCTGATTAGCGTGCTGATGCAATACTCCAAGGGATAGAATGCTTAGCTTCTAATCCACACAACATAGCAAGCAGTGGCTCTGCAGACTTTCTCTGTCAGTTCTCGTCATTTTAATTCTGCTCACTGTTGAAATCCAAGATGCGGACGAAGACATTTTCGTCGTCGGAATGCGTAAAATGCCAGAATTATAAATTGTTGACCACTCAAAAGCAACAGAGGAGCAGGCCCTCAGCAAACCATTCCTGTGAGGAAAGGCAAATTATATTTGTGCTGTCAAGCATGCCCGCTGTTTCAGCCCTGACAAGCAGGGTGACAAAGAAAATCTGTTATCAGTGGACATTGATGGCAGGGGATTTTCACTTTTATTTATTTATTTATTTATTTTTTGTTTCCCCACTTTTGCATATTTGACCTCAATCTGTACAAACAAAACTTAAACAGAACACACATCTGCCCGGCACAACGGAGGAACACAGTTCACAAGGCGCACGAGGTGGCATGCTGCTAAAGCTTGTTTTCAGACCGCTCACAGCTTCCATCCAGTTGAGTTCACATCTCCCTGTTTCCAGTTTGCACCTCACTGACAGGGTGTAACAGAAAGCTTTTAAGGTGTCCATCGTGTTTTCTGCATTCACGTCTGCGGTTCTACCTTGTTGCTTTTCAGCTGAGGTACTGGAGTAGAAGTGAAAGGGAAGACACGGCCAGCGTGCAAAGGACTGTAGGAAATCAAACATCTACTATTATTCGCGGGGTGAAAGGCAGCACCGCATATTACGTCTCAGTGAGGGCGTATAACACTGCAGGAACGGGGCCTCCCAGCACCACTGTCAACGTCACCACCAAAAAGCCACGTAAGTATGGGATCAAATTAGAGCCTGCAAGAGATTAATGGCTGGCTGAGTTATATTGGGACTAAACTCAGATAAAAGGTCTATTTTAACCTGAATAGATCTCTATAGTAACTTTCACTGATCATATAGGCCAGTCCAGAGTAGATTATCTTCAGAGTTTCAGTTAAATATCAGCTAGAATCAGCACATTAGGCTCTTTTAGGGATATACAGATTATTTCAACTGGTTACCACTGAGCAATTTTCTGCTGATTAGAGGTCTAAATATGCATCAAAATGATACACAGCCATAAAATTGGGATCATGTTGGCTCAGACGTGAAAGTCTGGTAGACGTCTATGTCACCCTCGACATTATTTCAACAAGCAAACACATATGTTTGTGTTTTTTTTGCATTCCACATTTGATTGTTTTACAAAATGATCGTGAAGAGACCCCAGGTACACAAAGGACACTGATTTAGTATTGCCAATATGAAATCAGTATTTTCTTTATTGAAAAAATTGTTCATTCCATGCATGCATCAGTTATGCAACTGCTTACTGCAATTCAGGGTTGCCAGGGGGTTTGAGCTTGTTCCAGCTGTCATAGAGTGTATGCATATGTACAACAGACAGCAGAGTTATTAGTTAGTTTCATCTCATCTGAGAAAAAGATGTGCTTCCAGTATGCATCATCATTTTCCATGTTTTCCTCATCATACTTCTGTCTGGTTTAAGAGTTTTTCTCAATCTCCAACCTCGAGTACATTCCTGTGCAGAGTTCTAGTGATTGTCATCTTTGAGAGAACAATTCCTTACTGGGCAAAGTCATTCACTGCTGTTTTGGCAGTTATTCTATGGTCTTTAGACACATCTCTCACTAATTTCCTTTCTAGAATCTTCTAAATCTTTTAGAATTTCTTGATGACACTTCTCCCTCTAGCTTTACGACCGTCAACAAATGGATTTCTTTTGTTTTTGCCATGATGCTTTCTCAAGTGACAGCTCAGACTCTTGAAGAAGTTTTATACTCTGTGTAAATTGGAAGATAACCCTCAGTTTAAAGCACATCTTTGTGCATATTGCACAGCAGTGGTTTGTGCTATGGATAGAAACAATATAGAAATAGTTTATCCTTTCTAAAGAACCTGTGGCTCCGGTTTTTTGTTGACTTTTTACTGTGTTTCTGTTTCTTCCCATTTTTTAAGCTGAGACTTTTCTGTGATAAACGGTGGTCCTGTTTTGTACTTAATCTATTTGATTTTTACAAAAAAAAAAGTTTATTGTTCAAAAAAAAAATATTTGCATTTGGTGGTACTTGGACAGGAAACGGTTGACTGTGTGATGAGGTGGTGAAGAAGAGTATTTGAGCTTCTTTCTAATTTTTTGTTGTTTATTCTCTTTGGCCTGGAAAGGATCATAAAAGCAAAAAAGTTAAAGTTATTAACGTTGACTTTTTTTGAATGTGAAGAGTTTCCGATGAGTGTGAAATAGAATGATTATTTTCTTTGTTCTCTTATTTCCAAAGCTTGAGAGGACAATTTTATTAAAACAAAAAAAACAGCTTATCTCAGAGAGTTAACCAAATCTTCATTTTGTTTTGAAGTCATCTTCAACACCTTTTTAAAGACTTTGCTGGGTCACCTTTTTCATAAGCACAGAGCGTGATGCAGACAGCGTGGGTTCTAATCCCGTTCTGTCTGTCTGGTTTGAAGTTGCAGAAGAGTTTTTCTCAATCTCCAACCTCGCAGTACATTCCTGTGCAGAGTGCGAATCCCATTAACTCTTTACTGGGATTTTAGGTTTTATAGAACCAGCTAGCACAAACAAAGGCTGGCTATGTTACAGTTGCTTCACAGTACACCCATCTGATCAGTGTGCCACTGCTCAGCTATCATTTTAAGGTAAATGATGTGTTTTTGCTCTCCCAGCACCCAGTCAGCCACCGGGTAAAGTGGTGTGGAACACGTCGAACTCCAAGATTATACTGAACTGGGAGCAGGTCAAAGCCCTGGAGAACGAGTCAGAGGTCACTGGTTACAAAGTAAGCACCCAGACGCCTTGTTTTGTTAGAAAATTCTGTCCCGTACCACGCTGCCATAATTCGATCTCTTCTTCTTCAGGTGCTGTACAAGAAGAATCGACACAGTCGCCCCAGCGTCATGGAAACAAACACCACCTCTGTAGAGCTGGCGCTTCCTACTGACGAGGATTATATTATCCAGATAAAGCCATTTGGTGAGGGAGGGGAAGGCAGCAGTAGCAGGCAGATCACCATCCCAAGGATACCAGGTCAGTGGAGAGCTAGTTAGTGTCTCCCTCGTGGCTGAGCTGAATAATCCCGTCCCCTGCTGCTGTCTTGGCAGAACAGATTAGCTGCTCCAAAGCGACAGAAACTGGGGAAATAATGTTCTACATTTGACATTTGTGTAATTACAGTTTCTACGTGACACCAAAAAGTATGTAAAGTAAAATACTCTATTTAGAGTCCTTTCTGTGCCTCACTCTGCTGCTCAAGGAGTAAGATGAGAACATGTTTTAGATATTTTTATCAGCTCTTAATTGCTAAAGCAGGTTGAAGAGACGTCTCTTTAATAAGAAAAAGGTGGGAAAAAAACGTATTTCTCTCATAGACTAACAGCCTTGTTCTTTTCAACACCTTGTACAGGCCCCAACGCAGTCGGCTCAGCATCCAAGGTCTCCACTCTATCAGCACTCAGCACAATAGCACTGTCTTTCACAGCGCGGACATCTTTATGACAAACGTCTCGCAGCAGGCGTTGCATCTGATGTGAAGACGGCGCTCCGGCAGAACGCAAACAAAGCCCACTCCGGTGTAACTAGATCCATTCATTTAGATTTTAGAAGCAAAAGGAAGACGCCGAAGGAAAAAAACAACAAAAAAAGACAAAAAAAAAACAAAACGCCATTGAGATAACAGGGAAGGGGTCCCCTTCAGCGCCCAGGCTAAGTAAGGGAGATTGACCGATGTCGTGACTATGTTGTTACCAAAGCAGCTTTCATAAGAAAAAAATAATCAGAAAAAAATGTCTTATATGCATTTTTTTGTATGACACGTTGAGCTTTTATAGATTTTCTTTTCTTAAATAAATTTAAAGTCTGTCTGGGCATATTGGGTCAAAACATCTGCATGACAAGCAACATCATCAAATTTTCCAGTCTGGAGGTGAAGAATGTGATTTGACAGATCACCCTTTGTCTTCTAAAATACGATACTACTTGTGACTTTGGGGTTTTTTTTTTTCTTCATTTCTGTTTCTGCACTATTTTTAAAAAAAAAAAGAAAAAAAAAAAGCTTGTCTCAAAGGACTGCATCGACAGCTTTGGCATATGCTGCTATTAATCCCAGTTTGTAAAGAGACAACTAGCATTAGACTTTACATGTTAATGCTTTATCATTCTAGGAAAGTGGCTTTGGGTCATCTTGATATATCAGATAATCCAAATAGGCACTAAGCTTGGAAAGTTTTGTCAAAGCAGTCACATGAAATGTGAACACTGAAAGCGTTATGAGTTGCAATCATTCCTCCTGTCCAAAGATGGCATAGCTCCACTGCAGCCTCATGTTAGCTTAATCTACACTTGTGCTAAAGTTCAACATGAGGTTCTGGTCTTGGTTGTGCCGTGCTCAGACCACACAATTATTTTAATAAACATGCTCAGTGTGTCATGTTAAAAGATTCCAACATCAGATGTGCTTATATGTTCAGAACATATTTGGAGGGCTAAATTATCAGCAAAAGCTAGCTTGATTAGCAAGCAAACCTAAAGTGTACAAGTATAACGCCCCTGAAACTGACCAAAATTAAACTATAACTACTTGGACAAGCTGTACCTCACAGCAAGTAAGTTATAGCTTGTATCCCAACTGTATCCTTTTTTTATGATAATCCTACTCAGAATTCTCTCAAAACCCACCAACACCTCAAACATGGTTGAGGAATCCAGTTCAGTGACTGAATTAGCGAAGGTGGAGGCTAACTGGCTGCTTGGCCAGGCCACATCCCTAACTTTAATCCAGAAACAAACTCCAGACATGTAAGCTATGAAAATAGTTTGCCCCAAATACAATTTTTATAAACTGTATATACCAAGCTTTTTTAAATAGCAGCTGTAAAGACGTTAATTGAATCACTCTAGTTGAGCATTTTAACACAAAAGTCTATTAGAACGTACTGTCTTTTGGAATCAGCCTCAAATGACAATTGAAGGATTTGCATGTTGGTTGTAAGCTGTCCAATATGCAGCAATAGTTTTTTGTCAGCTCTCATTCACTCAACTGGCTAAAACATGCCTCATAAGCTTGCTACATCATTCTGGCCATGGTACTTTCACGCTAATATCCAATAGTCTTAACCTAGCACTGACTAAATGTTTTTTTGATGTGCCAGTTCCCCTGTTTGTGTCGCCTTGCTGTGCTACAGCAGTTTTACTGCTATGAAGACAGAACAAACCTCCACGCTAATAGTTGGACTTTGCTAACTGTAGAATGCTAAAATGTCACATATGTTTCTGCTGAACTCTAGAACTCAGTCTCAGACCACAGATCATACTGCAATTGCACTTGGAAGAGATTTTAAACAGCCGGTACGGACAGAAGGAATGATCACAGGGAGCAATAACTGGTTTATTTGCATAGCGTGAGTCTAAATCCCATCATCCTCGATGCTAAAGCATTAGCATATTAGCATGCCACGTTTTTGGTGCCAGTCCCTTGAGGGGTCGGGTTACCCAACAGCTCCCAAAATGTCGATGAAGTACTTAAAGCCATCCACGTGATAATTACCGACTTTGTAACCAGATGTAACATCGAGCTATCGTTGAAAGCTTCTCCCTTGGGTTCCTCTATCATGGCCGTTTAACAGCAATGGGAACCGGGCCCTTGTGGCTGTCTCATGCTCCTCATTCTTTAAGTTAGCCCTGTGTCTAGAGCTATTCTTTGCCTTCTGTGTGCCTCATCATATGTTCAAAATCCTCAGGTCCTTAAAGAGCCTTAACTTATCATATGTATATCAAAAACATTAGAAACATAGGACTATGAAGCAGCCGTGGTGATGTTTACATGCAGCTTTGTGGATAGAAAACTGTATGTAGTGAGGGGGGCCAGCATCCTTTTCCTGATGTTACAGAGGTGAATTTGAATGGCATTCTGCTGTTTCGCATGGGATATTGGCAATATATGAGGCCTGGTGCATTTTTATAGGTGTGTATTCTTAATAAAAAAGACAATGCTGCTGATCTTTTCCTTTTTCCCATCGTCTCCTGATGCCATGTGGGGCTGCTGTGCTACGCAGAGTACAGTGCAGTCTGTATGTAGCTTGTAATCCAGTTAAGTAGTTTGTAGTACGTTGAAGGGAAGTGTACTGTAGGCTACTGGGTCTTGCTCAGAATCATGCATTGAGAAATGTGTAATATACTGTTTTGTACACTTCAGATCATTTATATAAAAGAACCTTTCTAAAGAGATGATTTACTTGGTTTTTATGTATCAACTCTGTTTCATACTGTAGCTAACTGTTGCTCAGCATGACTGTAATTTGTCCTCTCTTACGTCCATTTGCAAAACTGACTGAATGGCTTAAGGTTCGTGCATCTGATAAGTTTGTGTATACTGTGCGTGTACCATGAAAACTGAACCACGATCAGCCCAATGTCTATGCTTCTGTCTCAGTCAGCCCCTCTGAGATGTGCTGGGTCTTCTGCTCATATACGCGCCACAGGAGAGTTTCTTCTGTTGCTGTTTGTTGTTTATACTGTGTTAATAAAGATTACCGATTTATAGAACAATGCTGAGCGCTGCTGGTGCATCAATATGATATCGGCCTGCATGACATATTGCAAGAAAGTGCCCCTCTTGAACTCTTTTCTGTGATACACCTGCACCATTTCATAGGTTTTATTACAACATGCCCTGAAGGCAGGTAAAATACTAGGACTTCATTCAGTGTAGTGCAGTCAGACTCGGGACATCTTCACACTACAACTATGACAGAATGTGCCAATAGCACTCATCATTAATACTAATAGTCTGGAGAAGAAGCACAGGAATTTTAGATCTCCATATTTAGCAATCAGTCTCTCTTTTCAGATATTCCTTAGCTCAGAATGTGTTTTTATCTCTGTCGATTTTCTCTTGAGAAGTGCCTTCTTCCATGCAAATAGCTGCACTTTTATCTTTAAGCAGATTTTTTTCTGTTCTGCCTGAATATTCTCGGATCTCTATCTGCCTCTTCATCCCTGCCCAGACTAATTTTTAAAACTCTGGACTGTAACAGAAATATTAACGATTGACTTTGTCTTTCCATTAATCTGAACAGGGTAACTTCATTCCCCCTCCGTCCTCAGCTGTTCTGTTAATGATCCACGGCCTTGCCTACGCAAGTTGCAATTTCTCCTCCAGGACGTCTTTTTTAAATTCTCTTTATTAATCTATTATTCTTAATTTATTTATTTATTTTAGCTTATTTGCAAGTCTTGGGCCTGAGTTTGCATGTTCTACTTTTTTTTTTGCTCTGGTTTCCTCCAACAAGCTAAAGACGTGGATGTCAGGTGATGGCTCAGTCACACTAGAGTAAGAATAGGACTGCAACCTCCTCACAACTATGTAAAATCAGTGGCTGTCCAGTGATTGCACTGAATTCTTTTCCAGTCGGAAACCAATTGCGAGCACCTGCAGTAACCGACTGGTTGACCAGAGGTTGACCGTGCAACACCCTCAACCTATGGGTGACCACTTTGAAGCAACTGCACAGATCATGTAGTCTGACTCAGACCGACTCCAACTGCTACATGTCTCTTTGCAATGGGGCTTAATTCAACTGGTTGTGTTCCAGTTTTATATGAAAGCAAGGTTGCAGTTAAGCCTTTGTCCTGCAGCAATCACATCGCTATTTGTGAATGAATTTCTGTTATAAATCCATGAGTTTCTGGATGGACTTTTTCTCTTTTTGGGGGCGGGGTAATAATTTAGAATTAATTTTTACAAGACAATAGAAGAGACTGGAAAGGAGGGAGGAGGTGTGTGCACATTCAAATCTGCAGTAATCTTTTGGCAAATGGGTCAATCGCTCAACCCATTGAGATATATGGGCACCCAGACCTGCAATTTTTGATGATTTAATCACAGTTAATCATCATATTATCACAAATCGATCTAAATGCACGTTATTGACAACTTGACACCAGTCAGTCATCGTATTGTCATCACCGTCTTTACGTAGCAAAGCTGCTTTGAAGACAGCAGCTGACTGAAAGTGTCCATGGCACAGCAGTAATTTTAGTCATGCCATGGTCTCCAACCACTGTTTTCCCTAGTGTGACTGTAGCTTAACTGGTGACTGTGATAAGGCTGAATGTGTAACTGTGATAGCCCTGTAATGGGCTGTTAACCAGTCTAGGTAGGAGGGGAAAAGAAAGAAATGTAGGGTTTTGCTAAATAACAAAAACAATTACACAAATGACAAATCTGCAGCACTTGTGTGATGCTGTCAGGATGGAGCAAAATTTCTGAGGAATGTCCAGAGATCGTGCATATGCGTGTTTATATATATCCTCAGACAAACAGTCTAAAAACAAGAATGATGAAGGAATTTTGCCATCCAAACCCTCTTCTGTTTATATCTCAGAAAACATGAAATGTCTCATATCTCATGTGGAGAAATAACCAGAAACACAAACTGTAGACTGTATGTGTGAATTGGGCCCTGGCCCTTTAAATAGTATAATATACAAAATTGTTCAACTGAACGATTGCAGCACATTAAATCTGGGTGTTTTAGATGTCAGCCTATCCAAACAGGATTTTGCTGGTCTTCCTGAGAAGGTGAGTGCACGCAAACCTAAATTAGCAACATTATTCCAGATATTGTCCAATATGTCACATGAATTTTTGAGATTTATAAATAAGTACTCCAGTATTCATATTCATCAACTATCTGGTTTGTGCATAGTGAAGGATTCCAAACATGTCCGATATCTAGCTTTGGTGCATTAATATACAGTATCTCAAAACTGGAGACATCAAAGACAAAGTTAATATGCAAAGAGATCGGGGAAAAGACTTTCAGTGGATTAAATATTAGAATATTGTGTAAATGTTTCATGGATGGAAATCCAAAGTTGGGGTTTTTCAGCGTCCAGTCTTGTTCGTTTACAGAGATGTGTCAACAACAGATCCACCAAAGGTCCAGTGTGCATTCTTCCGTATATTGTCTGTATCTGTGATGAATACAAAGGTATCACTGCCTTAGATCATACCAGATTTTAGGACTTTTATTCCAGTAATGGAGGGTGAGTAAGACCCCCATTCTGTCTTATGTTAGTTTCAGGCCACCCTCCTAGGCTGCCCTAGAAGGACCAGCAGCTGTGAAAATAGCTGGATAGATGAATGTACTGAATCATGCTGGAAATATTTTATTTTTTCCTCCTAGTTCAAATATTTTTATATCAGTGTTGCACAGTTGCCAAGGCTGTGCCTTCTGCTGTTTTGTGTTACCTACTTTATAATATATATCACTAATAGGAATAGCAATTACTTTATTTGTGAAATTCTTTCAGACATTATCAAACACTATCAATCCATTACCTCTAGCTGCTTATCCAATATTAAGGATGCCAGCTCAGAAACATGGAGCAGGAGGTGGAGTATGCCTCAATCAGATCATCAGTGCAACAGAGAGAGACAGCCAACCACACAATCACACACTCTTATATCCACACATATGGACAGAATCATCACTTAACCTGACTTTGGACTGTAGGAGGAAGCCAGAGTCCCCAAAGGCACCAGGTGACCTCGACTGTTGAGCCTTCCTGCTAACCACTGCACCAATCAAATACCAGTGACAAATAAATATGTATTTTGTAGAGGACTGCATAACAGTTATTCTTGACATACTTTACATGGACAAATTGATTTCACCTTCTAGCAGCGCTGACATATCTCTAAGCGGTATCCATTATTCGTTATTTATTTTGAGTAAACTGTGCAAACCTAGATCCTTCAATTCCCATCATCCAACATGTTATTGTCGCTTCAATTCCAATTCTAATTATATTAGCCCTCAATAACAAAAAAGTCTCCTCAAGTTGCTTTATATTAAATATTGAAGGTAAATACCCTCCAATAATACAGTGAAAACCCCAACAATCAAACAGCGGTAATGCGCGAGCACTTGATGAAAGTGGGAAAGAAAAATTCCCTTTTAACAGGAAACCTCCAGCAGAGGGGCGGCCATCTGTTGTGACCAGCTGGGCGTTAGGGGAGGAAGACAGGATAAAGACACGCTGTAGAAAAGAGCCAGAGACTAATAATAACTAATAATTAAATGCAAGAGAGTCGTGTATAAAAACCACTGAAAGGTGGAGGGTCTGCCTCCCATCCTACTTTTAAATACCATAGGAACCACCAATAATCTGACAGCAACGTGCTCTATTGGGGTGATACGGTACTGATTAATCAAGACCTGCAATGGAAACTTATTATAAATGTGCAAATGCCAGCTGGTGATATAAATCTAAATTAAAGCTGGTAAGAAAAAAATCAAGGGGGTGAATTAAGACATAAGTGGATTTCTGTAGCAGCAGAGACAGACTCTGGTATGGGAAAAGCCAGAGCGAAATAAATAAATAAATAAATGATAAAACTGGGACACAGCCATAGTTATCTACCCATCATGGGCAATTAGAAAAAAACAATCTGTGCAATGAGACTGTATGTGGGGAAAAGAAAAAAGAAGAATTTTGACTTAATTGGCTTTCCGTACCAGCAAAGACGAAACTATTGTGACTTGTAAACAATGTGAAGACATCCTGCAGGTGTTTCGCAGACTAATATAAAATGATTGTATTCTGTGTGAAGTACCAAGTGATTTTTGAAGTTCAGTGAAAATGTTGAGCATGCTTCTTTGGTTTCAGAAATCCACTAGGTGGCACTAAAAGCACCCAGAAACCCACTGAAGCCCACTTTTACTGCATGTACCGAATGTGGTCACAAGATGGCAATACAGACCAAGGCTGTTTCCATCATATTCACTCCAGCAAGAATCCTTCACTACTCTGGTGTTACAAAAGAAGCCCTTTATTTCACAAGCTGAATTGTAAATGTATGGAAATATTCAAGTAACAGAAGGGGAAAAACAAACCAAACATTTCCTCAAGTTCAAAAAGAAATCCCTCTCCCTTCATTACAGAATCAGAGACAGTGTTTGAATCATACTGAGACATTTATTTATGCATGTATGTTTTTTTTTCCATTTAGACTGAATGCAAATACAGCAAATACACACCACCAAGCACTAGGGGGATGTAGAGCAAAAGGCAGTGGAGACTTGGAGGTGGAGGCTTTACAGCAGAGCAGTTTGATGGTCTTCACAGAGGGGAAAAAACCTCACATCCGTGATCCATACTGTGCTGGTTTTCTAAAGTTAATGGGGCCAAAAACGTTCGGCATCTCGTTGAGGACCATCATATTCAGAGAGACTCCTTTTCTCGCTGCCTTCAAAGTCATCTTCTTTACAAGACAGTAATTCGCTTTCGAGACAGCTCCTCTTCACCTTGGGTGGAGAGGAGAGGTCGTTCCTCCATCTGCCTCGTGGTGATTAAGAGCACTTTCAGGCGCGCACTGATAATTGCTCCCGCGGCTCTTAACATAAGGCACCCATTCATGTGACATTTCTATTGCACCGCTGTCCTTCGGGTTCTACTTACTGCCTCGTCCCTCACCTAAAAACACATCTCTGCTCCTGTCAGTTTCTACAAAGTGTACAGGCTAATACACAGAAGTACAGATATTTATATATAAATACAGGTCCTCCATCCTCCAACTCGCCACCTCATTACACAGCTTCTCTCCCGATGCCTACAGTTGTTTCTTTTCCATCAGTAGTGTGTCCAAACCTACAGCAAAGACAGGCTTTCCCCCCCCCAGCAGGTTACAGTACATGTGCTGCAAATCATTGCAAGCAAGTGCCTTCTCAACAGTCCAGTGTCATATGACCAGGTAAAATAAAACAGAGCAAAACAGAATATACAAATCATCAGTTTTCTCCTGTTTTCCACAGACACCACCAACAGCAGGTCAACAGGTTCAAATCAGGGCAAAGGGAGGATTAGATGAAGAGGGCAACAAAGCCATGGTCACAAATGTTGGAAAGATTCCTTCGAATGTCATTTTACAACTCCGTGTTGTTGGTTTTGGTTACGCTTTGATACACACGACAGTTCACAGTTTTCTCCCTTTAGAGGACACAGAATAAGAAGAATGTCTGCTTATTGCAAATCTCACAAGCAGTGCGCGTCACTGCTTCAGGTAACAGTAGCACGAAAAGTTAACAGTGACAGCGGGGACACAGGCTAACACGGGTCGGGCTCCGTTAGAGGGATTTGTATGTTTGATAGCTGATGCATAGTATAGTATTAAAGGTCACCCAGAATCGACGGATATACAATATGAGACAACCAGCACGCTGTGTGGGTGGAGGCCACTTAACGCATGACATACTATACGCTTTGTCTGTGATGCGAAACAGGGAGGAGCTCACTTTGACCACTCCTATAAATACAAACTCATAAACCACAACGTCAAAAAGTTAACCTGAAAACAAAAGAAAAAAATGAGAGAGAAAAAGTACCCTTGTTAATCTTGTGTCTTGAACTCTTCAGGCTGTGTCTGCAAACATGCGCACAATCCAAGAACCAGTCGCTATTTAAAGAGCTGCTATGATCAGTGGTTTTACATAACAAGCTAATCAAAAGAAAAAACTGACTCTGTAGTTTCCTTAGCATGTTAGCCCCTTTCAGCTCACTGTTTTGGTTCACTCTTACACCTTTTTACAGCATGGTTTACGCTGCATTTAATAAAACCTCGCGCTGCTACCGGAGCTAACCTGGAGCCTGCAGGTAGGTTAGCAAAGTTAGCATAGTGAAGAATTTTACAGCAAAACAAAATCCCTGAAGAAAAAAAGAAGATGTAACAAATCATACCAGCACTATAAGAGTGCCAACAGCGATTAAGGAATGGCATGGAATTATTAGCTTGGTAGAAAAAGCGCTACAAATAAATGCTAATTCGTGCTAATCTGGCTGTTTGCTTAAATGCTAACAAGTTTATTATCACAGATGTCTAAACGTGAACTAGACAGATAAGACTGTCGTCATGTTGCCATATCATAATTATCAGGGTAAAAAAAATCTTGATAGCAATATTATCTCAATAAGTAAAAAAGGTTTTTGACGATTTAATGATGATAGCAATAATGCTAGTGTTTAAATTTTACCATAGCTGTTAGGTCAGAGTAGTGATTTTTTTTTTGCAAAAAAGAAAGTCAAAGTACAAAGTACAGAGATGACAAAAGTCTAACTATGACTGTACAAATACACAAAAAAGAGCAATTACATGAATATTTATGCTGTTATAATATGTGCATCGCTAACGCTATTAATATTTTTTAAATATCCCAGCTACCGCTTATGCACAGTTATTACTGATACTGCTAACGTAACGATTTTGTAGTTTGGGCTTGTTATGCTCTTTAAACGTGGCCAACATTAGTAAATCACAGCTGGTGGCTGTGATGTCAACATTGGCATTTTGCAGCCCAACTTTACAATCTGGAAAACCAGCTCTTAGTTTGGAGCCAGTTGATTACAGCTCTGTCAGGGAGAATTTACAGCATGTTCACACATAAAGGCTGAAATGTCCAAAAGCACAAGAGTGTCAAACAAACTCTGTTTCCCAATGGAAGTCAGTAAAGCAAGTAAGGAAAAAAGAAGTAAATATATATCACAAATAGAATATTATTCATATTTAAAATTTCCTCTGAAACCCTAAAACTGTGACCAGCATCTCTTTGTGTTGGTGGTGAGCCGACAGCAAAACAATAACAGTGAAGCTGGACGAGGACAGTGATGCTTGTGTGTTGAAGACTGGGACCAGTTCCAGCTGTCCTCTGAACAGTTAGTACAGTCTGTCCACCATTCATTGGCCTCATGTATTTTACACTTTCTCAACGGTCCTCATTCCCACTTCTCCGGGCTTCCAAAGGCAGACATATTCATGTGTGTATTTTTGTTTTGTTTTCATTCCCCCTGCTATTTTTAATTGAATCATGCAGATTATAATCTTCTGATATTATACATATTTCATAAACAAGCAAACACTGAACATAAATTAGATCCTCTATAGATAAAAATGTAAAAAGCTAATAAGACAGCAGTTGATTATACTGAAGGTGGCATGGCTAGGAGATGGCCAACAAGCAAAAAAGGCTGGCTCTTGCCACTTGGTACCTCCCCATCCCTACCCATGCTACCAGCATT